TTGAATTGGAAACCACACACAAAGGAGGTTCCAATCAGATTATATATTGTTAACATGATTACATTAGTCATCTTATTCAATTAATGCTAATACTTGTAAATCTCGTCAAGCATTCATGATTATAACTTATGTTAACAACAAATCAAGTTCCTTTCATAGCTCAGGTGTCGGTTATACCATACATTATGGGCTATGAAAGTGCCAAGCATTTGTTGTACAAAGTGTTATACAACATAAATCAAGATTAGTCATTTAACAAGCAAAGTATTAAAGAGTGAACAAGATAACAAATATAAAACATGTTAGTATCAAACATTAAAGTCCATTTTAAGTTTACATTATACTTATTCTTACACCATTAGTGTAACCTTTTCACCTTGACATAACTAACTTAGCTAGACATAATGAAAGAAAGCAAAATAGATAAACAAAATAAGAACATAAAAGTTAACTAAGTAAAGGAAAGGAAATGAAAGGAATAAACTTGATATTAATGAAAGCAAAGCATAAACATTACAAAAAATACAAAGAGAGAAAGGAAGAGCATGATCTTGATCTGGAAACCAAGAGGCCTAAATGCATGGCAAATGCCTCCTTTTATAGGCCAAAATTGGGAACTATTGATTTGATGACTAATTGATAAGTGGGTGGCCAACTTTTGACTTAGTGACAATCCTTATCTTCTGTTGTCTGCCCAAAACGTCATTAATAACGTCAAAATTGGAGCCAGTTGCAAACATGAAAGTTGTAGGCAATTGTCTCAGCTTTCTTGTGTAAGAACTTCAGCTCATTTGGACTTCTAGAACTCCAGATATGGCCAAAATACTGAACAGTGCTCGGGCTGGAAAACAGATTCGGGCTTCTTTGTTGTTGCTATAGTTTGGACTTGAAAATGGCCTTTTTAGATCTTGGGCTCCATATAAAAGTTGTAGGCCTATGTCTTACCTTTCCATCCATATAAATTGGAACTAAATCTGAGATATATAGCTCCAGATATGACCCAATTATCGAATAGTGTTCCGGTTTGGATTGTACCGACATCTCTTTTCTAAGTTTGACCATCTCTTTATCCTTGCAATTTAAGTTCTTAAAGTCATCAATCAATCCTTTCATTTATGTGATAGGCTGCATTTAAAATGAACATTTACCACAAATTAAAGGTATCTTATATTATTAGATATATTATTCTAAAACATGCTTTGGAAATACTGAACAGTGCTCGGGCTGGAAGACAGATTCGGGCTTCTTTGTTGTTGCTACAATTTGGACTTGATAATGGCCTTTTTAGATCTTGGGCTCCATATGAAAGTTGTAGGCCTATGTCTTACCTTTCCATCCATATAAATTGGACCTAAATCTGAGATATATAGCTCCAGATATGACCCATTTACCGAACAGTGTTCCGGTTTGGATTGCACCGACATCTCTTCTCTAAGTTTGACCATCTCTTTATCCATGCAATTTAAGTTCTTCAAGTCATCAATCAATCCTTTCATTTATGTGATAGACCTGCATTAAAAATAGACATTTACCACAAATTATAGGTATCTTATATTATTAGATACATTATTATAAAACATATTTTAGTTAAGGAGTTATTGATACTTCAAGTGCAAAATGATGATATAAAACCATGATAACAATGCACTTTTAAGTACTAATCACACCCCCTAACCAGCTTATTACTAGTCCCTAGTAATCAAAGCGTTAAAATAGAAAAACAATTTGCAAATTCAACAAAGCAAGGTATTCATCATTTAACTTCCATTAATCTATACAGATAAACAATCTGTCATTAAATTTATATATCTGCTCAATACCTCTTAACAAGATATTAATAAACCTTTCTTTTGTGCTCAATGTATCAACACATAATTATGGGGCTTTTCTTGGAAGAAAACAAAATTTTTGTTCTAATGTTTAAGGTTAACTTCCTTGGGCTGGAATTATTATTTTTGTCTTTTTTTTTAAATATATATACATATAATTTAAAAACATCATGCATCTTTAACCCATGTAACGAGCTTTCAGCTAATGACTCCCAGACCAGTTGGTCTTAGGGCATTAGGTGTTAGACACCCCTACGAGCTTAGTAACTCGGGTCGCAGATACTGATATGTAGATAGTGCAATGTTTGGTTTCCTTAAGCTTTTCTCCTCAACCCAAGTAACAAGCGTTGGGTCAATAGCTCCCAAGTCAGTTGACTTTAGGGTATTAGGTGTTAAAACACCCCTTCGGGCTTAATTGCTTAGGTTAGGGAGGCTACGAAACCAAACTTATCTATATTTTTATTATCATCATTTTTTCTTTTCTTTTTCTTTTCTTTTTTTTCATGTTTTTTTTTCTTAATTATATACAATTCCTTTTCCTTAGTTGTTACCTTTAACAAAAGAACATAAATAATGTAATAATCCAATATGCAACCCACAATCATATGTTAAATTGTGTGTGTGTAAATTAAGGTTTAAGAATACATGTTAAATAAGTATGTGAGCAGAATTAAGTGATAACAATGCGAGAGTTTATAAATCTGAATATTTCAGGAAGTATTATAATAGACCTTGTTAAGAATGGTTACTAAGATGCGTCTCAAGAGTCACTTTAACAAAAGAGCTCCTTTACTCTGCCATCCTAGTAACAACAATTATGCACATGCTTTATGAAATGAAAAACAATTTTTTTTTTTATCAACTACTACCCTCTCCCCCCAACCAAAACGAGACATTGTCCTCAATGTTCTAAGGGAGAAAGATAGAGTATAGAAGATATCACCTGAAATAACGAACACTAACAAACCTGAAACACACTGAAACAAATATAAGAAACAACAAAACACAATAATAAAACCAAGCATGTGTATGTACAGGTAGTTGTGATTGTGGCTCACATCTTCCCGTGGTTTTACGTCCAAGAACGGCTTAAACGCCCTCTATGGGTCGGGGATAGGCTTCCCATCCAGTTTTCTTAAAAACTGGAAAATAGGGTCTTTTTTAGTCAGATTTCCAAGACTAAGTCGATCATGTTCTTTATGAAATAGTGGCCATAAATCATGAATTACACGATGCACATCTCCACTAGGATGCGTCTCAAGAGTCAATAGAAGATTATCTAAAGACTCCTTACTTAGGCCATCCTTAATGAATTGTATTTTATCTTCATGGTTAATAGATACCATTCCTAAAGAACGACATTGTGTATTACAAGTCCATCTAGCACATCGATGACAGACTTCTAGTCGTTTTGCACGACGTTTCTTTGCAAAAGTGCTTTTACCTGTTCCAGGCATGTGTGAAATGAAGGAATTAGAGGACTCACTTGATAATCGGACCTTTGCTTCAATCAACCAGCGAATATCTTCAGGAATTCCATGATTCATTAACAATCTCAATCTTGCACATCTAACACGGTAAATTTTTGTAATCGCATTTTGAGACAGAGCAGAAAAATACTTTTTCAATTTTTCAAGATTAGTGTCCATTTTCAAATGAGAATTGGAAGAGAGATTCAAATAATTGCACAAATATATACACAAATATCAGTTATTGTGGGAAACTGAAAGAACCGACTTAAGTCACGGAGTACCGTTATCCGCCATTTAACCGGGGTGAGAGAAACTAGCAAAAATCACTCAAAAAGAAACACAAAAAAGAAAATGTGAGAAAAACAAAATAATCAACCTTTATCTACAAGATCATTCAAACCAGCTGATTCATTTTCACTAGGAAAATTATCAATGTAAGCTTTCAAACGATGTCTATTTTCCTTAAAATCATTGTCATTCATTGAATTCTCAATATCACAGGCCCCATAAGGATTGGTCCATCTTAATCTTAGTTCTTTAGGGAATGCATAGAGTTGAGAATTATACAACAAAACTTTTTAACCAGTATCAACTTTTTGACAATTTTCACAAGTTTTGCAGAATGCATGCGTGTCCTTGAACATGGTGGGCCAATAAAATGCTTTTTGAAAGATTTTTATAGCTGTCTTTTTTGACGAGAAATAACTTCCACATGCTTCAGAATGACAAAGTTTAATGACACTACTTACCTCATTGTCAGGAATGAATCTTTGAAATATTTGACTAGGACAATATTTGAATAAGTTAGGGTCATCACAATAAAAGCTCTTCACTTCGTTCAAAAACTTTTCTTTGTCTTGAGTACTCCAATCAGTTGGCAAATCTCCTAAAGCAAAAAAATTGATATTTTTATCATACCAAGGCATTGGACTAAGAGAAAGTAAGGATTCGTTAGGAAAATAATCATCCATTGGTGTGATGTCAGATGTCGAATCTGTTGTCACTGTTGACAAAAGATTCGCATCAACATTTTCTATGCGTTTTTCATCCGTGATTTCTTTCTTAGAATAAATCATTTGCAAATCTTCAATTTCATCCAATTCATTTTTACTTAAAGTAGATTCAAGTTGATTATAAACTAATTCATCAATATGATCTACTTTTTGTAAATCATTATCATCTCCAGGTTGCTTGCAAATGTTGAAAATATTCATCTCCAATGTCATGTTTCCAAATGATAGCTTCATCAGTCCATTCCTACAATTAATCAATGCATTAGAAGTTGCAAGAAACGGACGTCCTAAAATAACAGGAAATGAATTACATGCTTCAACAGGTTCTGTGTCCAAGACAATAAAATCCACAGGATAAATGAATTTATCGACTTGTACTAACACATCTTCAATTATTCCTTTAGGTACTTTTACAGATCTATCGGCAAGTAAAAAAGATACAGAAGTTGGTTTTAACTCACCTAGATTGAGACTCTGAAAAACTGAATATGGAAGTAAATTCACACTAGCACCAAGATCAAGTAAGGCTCTTTCAATTTTATGCTCTCCAATAAAGCAACAAATTATAGGACAACCAGGGTCTTTATATTTCAAAGCATTATTGTTTTGAAGAATAGCACTTACTTGTTCGGCTAGAAAGACTTTCTTTTTCACATTCAGTTTCCTCTTCACAGTGCATAGATCAGAATCTTGTTGGATATGGTTGGGTTTGGCTTGTGGTAACAGGCAGAGCTCCTGTTTTGCCCTTATGGGCTGTGAGTATCTATTGACCTTTTGACTTTTATCATGGTTTAAAGTTGATGATTTGTTTGGTCCGTTTATGTAAAATTTGGGACTTTTTGATACTTTACGTTGCTGGAAAAGGATCGTCTGCATTCAATTTTTTTTTTATTCCTATGGTGGATTGTTGTGGTTGCAAATCTAGCTTTGATTTTGACTTTATCTCTGTTTTTGTTGAAGATCTCTGTTATTGCAAGTTAATGCTTTCAAGTTTTTAGTTTTTATGTTTCATCTGTTCAAGTTGGTCTCCCAGATATTTATGATATTTCATAAAATTCTACAGCAATGAATCGTTCCTCTTCCTTCTTTTTTGTTGTGTTTTTCTTTATCCTAACGTTGCATGCATCAGAATGATCTATAAATTTTTTTAAGGGTTTCGTATTGAAGTTGAAAGTATCTTTCATTTCGTCTTTTTTACCTTGAGTGTTAGATAAACGTCCGGTGCTGTACTTTTTTTTCCTGATTTTCTTCTTCTTTCTTCACATGTAATTTTTTTCTTCTTGTTTATTCCTCCTGTGCCTACCATGGTATGATTCTTTCAATAGATCTATCAATCACCGAATAGACAAAGCGATTTATGTTCTGAGGGAGGATGTTATGGTTTTAGAATTTATCGTGTGATTTTAATGGATTTGGGGGCATATCCTTCCATGCTCGCATTAATCATGTGGGTTTTGATTTGCGGGACCAAATTATGCAAAATGCATATGACCTATAGACCAGGAAACATGCATGCTTTACCAAAAGGTAAATTTCTTGAATTTGTTTGGTCGGAAGTATCATGGCATTTGCTGGGAATTAGCTGTTGCCAAACCAAAAGGCAAGCGGTGGTTTAGTTTAAATACGCATATTGGTTTCTTGGAAAACGTATATAAACGTGATCGCAATGCCTTCTGGAAAACTACTTATAGAAATCTCAGATTTACTGTAGAATATAAAGTTTAATCGGGTTCTACATGTTCTGGATCAGCTTAATTAATCATACCATGATAAAATTAAACCTGCTTCACAGGATGTGTTTTCCCATTGTCAGATTTCGTCTCTTTAGGAGAAGGATGGTATGGTGACAAGAATCGATTTAGAAAGATAATTTTACTGAAGATCTAGGAGGAGTTATTTGACATAGAATTCTGAAAGAAAATGAGATGTAATAAAAGTTTTAAATAACACTTAACTTAGTGATACTGTTTTGAGTGGATTCCCCGCTTCTAATTTGCAATAGGAATATTCATTGGAATCAGGCTTATGCATTCTTGGTTGCCATAATCTCTTCTGCTATTCCTGTCTATTAGAGTAACTTTCTCCTTATAAAACTTTCATCCTATCATGTGCATGCATCTTTGGTCCAAAGATTTAATGAAACCTTGCAGTGCTTGCCTGGGATAAGTTGCTAACTTGTATACTTGTGCAGATGTGCATTCTTATATTTATAGGGAACAATGGTGAAACCTACTTCAACACAGCTGCTTTAGTTTCTTGTGTGCAAAACTTTCCAAAAAGCCGTGGCCCTGTTGTGGGAATTCTAAAAGGCTTTGCTGGATTAAGTGGTGCAATTTTGACCCAAATATATGCAATGATCCATTCCCCTGATCACGCATCTCTCATTTTTATGGTTGCGGTTGGGCCAGCAATGGTAGTCATTGCTTTGATGTTCATCGTCAGACCTGTTGGAGGTCACAGACAAGTCAGATCATCTGATGGCACAAGTTTCACATTTGTATATAGTGTCTGCCTTCTACTGGCTGCATATTTAATGGGGGTTATGCTTCTTGAAGATCTAGTTGATTTGAGTCACACCACGGTTATGATTTTTACAGGAGTTTTATTCATCCTCCTCTTGATTCCTATTGTGATTCCAGTGTCATTGAGTTTTTTCCTTGATCCAAGAGATCCAGTAGAAGAGCCTCTTCTACCTGAGACACCGGAACAAGAACCTGGAAAATCTGGGCAGGAGACCCCTGAAGTAATATTCAGTGAGGTTGAAGATGAAAAACCCAAGGAAGTAGACTTGCTACCAGCATCAGAGAGGCAAAAACGGATTGCACAGTTGCAAGCAAAACTGTTCCAAGCAGCTGCAGAAGGAGCAGTGAGGGTCAAGAGGAGGAGAGGTCCACACAGGGGTGAAGATTTCACCTTGATGCAAGCATTGATCAAGGCTGACTTCTGGCTTATTTTTTTCTCACTTTTATTGGGATCTGGATCTGGACTGACAGTGATTGATAATCTTGGTCAGATGAGCCAGTCTCTAGGGTATGATAATACACATATATTTGTGTCCATGATTAGCATTTGGAACTTCCTCGGCCGTGTTGGCGGGGGTTACTTCTCTGAGATTATTGTCAGGTAAAAACTGATTTCTTGTTTCCTCTATCCTGGATGGATTTTAATGCAAGTTTTGAGATCGACTCATTCCTCTCCCTTGTCCAACTAATATCATTCAGGGACTATGCTTATCCAAGGCCAGTGGCAATGGCCATTGCCCAACTTGTTATGGCAGTTGGCCATGTTTTCTTCGCATTTGGATGGCCTGGGGCTTTGCACATTGGTACCCTGCTGATTGGACTCGGCTACGGGGCTCACTGGGCAATTGTGCCAGCTGCTGCCTCGGAGTTGTTCGGTTTGAAAAAATTTGGGGCTTTGTACAATTTCCTCACTCTGGCAAATCCAGCAGGTTCACTTGTCTTTTCCGGTCTAATAGCTAGCAGCATATATGATCGTGAAGCTGAAAAGCAAGCTCATGGAAACAATTACCTCCTTCAGAACTCAGGATCAATTTTTTCAGGCATGTTTGGTCTGAATGAACCGCTGAAGTGTGAAGGTTCCATATGCTACTTCCTTACTTCTCTGATCATGTCAGCATTTTGCATTGTCGCGGTTGTCTTAAGCATGATTCTTGTGCATCGGACAAAGATTGTCTACGCAAACCTCTATGGAAAATCACGGAGATGATATTCACAAGAGAACTAAAGCAGGCATTTATAACTAGACTACATCCAGTTACGACAGTTTCTGTGTTTTCATAGACAGGTTTTGATGAATTTCTTCATATTTGTGTATTCACATTGCCAGAGAGCTGGCGGAGTCAAGCTCCCTACAGTAAACTCTCAAGTAATACTTCGTGGACGTTATTCTTGGAATTTTGCAATTGCTGTATATTTATATTTTTATCTATCTGTTTGAACATTCACAATGGTGATTTTTTGGCAATGAAGTCAGTTTTGTTCAACAAGTTTTTCTTCTTTACGGATACACAATATTTGCTGTTGTAAATAAAGTTGGCCATAAATATTATCCCCATCTGGTTTGGAAGAGAAGAATGCTTTTGATTCTTGGTGGCTAAAACCAATTTTATCACTACTACTAGGTGGCCGGACTTTAACTTGTGCTGCTACATGGATGGTGAAATTCCATTACATCCATTGATGTCTTGAGAATTACAACCTGCTATTCGCAATCTTGATGTGGATGCAATGTGGAAAGGATATATATATATATATGGGCGGGGGGGATGGGGAAATGAAGGCACCCGACCTAAGTGAAATCCGGTCAAGTTTTTACCCAACCTGCTTTGACCTTGATCAGACCAAATATATACTGGACATAACTGGATTGGGATATCGAGTACGCAATGAATCTAATGAATTTAACATCCCCAGTTAACTAACAACTAATTATTGGTTTTTTTTTTTTAATGTGGATTGAATGTTTGGATTTTTTTAGATAGCCATAAATGTTTTGCTTTCCATTTCACTATTTACATGGCTATTAATTTTAAATTTGACTTAATATTTTTTATCAATTATCTTTTAGCGTGTTTCTATGATGTCAGGAAAATATTACCGTATTGAGTTATATTTAATTTGTAATAAATAATTAAAAATATGAAAGTTGAAACTAATCTTGGTTTAAAACATCTTTTTTCCGTAAAAAAAAAAAACCCAAAAATTAAGAAAGGAGAGACCAACAAAAGAGAGACAAGAAAAAATGATTGCTAAGATGCACAGACTTTTCTATGTTACATGTACTATCTTAGGAGAAAGGTCATCAACTACATCGAGAAAGGTGACATTTAGCAATTGGAGGAGCTCGCATGTGCCACCCAAATGCAGTGACTCCTCCCACTCGCTCGCACTAGTAATATAAACACCAACCATTCTCCTCTCCCTTCGTGCAATCTCAGCTCTAAATTTATAATCTCTTTTCAATTGGGTCCCAATTTTTACTCTACCCAAGATCATGATGAAGCTTTCTTCTTTTAATTTAGCTCTTGATTCTCTACTATCTCTTTGATTTAGTCTTGCATTTCTCCAACCCGAGGCCATTAAAGAGCTGACATGGGAGAAAAGGAAAAGGAGACAAAAACAGAGACAGTTAGCACGTTGTGGTCGTGCTCATTACCTAAATTGCGCATTTGAAAGTTAATATGGGTTAATCGGGTAGCCTCAATATATTACAGGCTCGGTTTTACAGAAAAAAGAGGTTATATATATAGAGCATTGTGAACAAAAAAAAATAAAAATCAACTCACAACTAGCTAGTCTTATGTCTATAATAAGATGAGGATTTAATTTAACCAAAACGATTGGTATAATTTTTTAGAGTTGATGAGAAACCAATCATCCCATCATGGCTTGATTATTGCTATTATCATAAATATTTTGTTAGTTATAAGATATCAATCTATTCATGTGCTACATTTTATTTGACTAAGATGAATGTTCATCGTATTATTATATTATATAACATTATAAAAAAGAAGCAATTTTAATTGAAATTAATTTATTGATCAATTAGAATATTACTGATAGTGCGTTGTTGTGTCAAGAGGAAGCTGTTCTGAGTGTTGTTATAAGGGAACATCATGGCTGCTGCTGCTAAACGAATTCATTTTCAAGGTGGAGTGGAAGTTGCCGAAGCACACGCCATATTCCATGTCCTATCCACTGCAAGGGATATTGGACTGGACGTGTAGGAGGAGTGGAAGTTGCCGAAGCACACGCCCTATTCCATGTCCTATCCACTGCAAGGGTTATTGGACTGGACGTGTAGGACTGCAGGTAACAGTCGACATCCTTGGGGTTATTCAGAAATTCCAGACAAGACAGATACTTCATACCTGGAAAGAACTATTAGTGATATCATCCTTGCTTTAACTCTTTCTTTTGTTTCCTTCTCTTGTTCACGAGCAAGGAGACCAGGTAATAGAATCGCTCATGAGCTAGCAAGACTTCCCTCTTGTTATCAGGAATAAAGGATTCAGTAGGAAGAAGTCCCTTCTAGTTTGGAGATTGGAGAAGCTAATTTTATTGCTTTCTGTTCCCTGATTAATGAAAGAATCTTAATTTTTTAAAAAATAAAAATAAAAATCACACTTATTATTACCTTAAAACTTTGAAGTTAAACAGAGTGATTAAAAGTAACTTGACCAGTTGCTATACGTGTTTTTGTAACGATAACAATGCTTCAAAACAAGTAATTTGCAACCTCAAATAATAATTGTTTGATTTTTCATGAATTAATGACTGTACAGTCTGTCCTGATACTTCCTTGGCTACTGTCCTAGCTCGCACCCTTCCAAGCTTTCTCATGGCAGTGGCAAAAGCTCCATTAAAATCGCTCGAGCTATTAGCAAAATCTTTGACGGTTGGCTGAGAAGCTGGATCCGTAAACAGCACCTCATCTGAAGTGAACAATCCCTTACCATTAACCAAATTCTGGAAATACACATTCTCAAAGGTTTGCGGGGTTACAGGGTCCATGTTAATGGCTCTGCTGGGGTCTACATTTCTAGGACATCCATCCATTAACTACTTGGCGTAATCTTGATTTAGAGACGGGTCAACAGGAGAGGACGAGGAGAATGAGTAGAGCCGATTCGCAAAGCGGCTGCAATGAGAGAAGCCTACTGTGTGGGTTACTGATAGTGCAATCATATCAATCTGGCTAAGGTTGTTTCTCGCAAATGTCATAGCGTTAAGTTGAGAAAGATTGAGGCCAGGTTCTGGCAAGTTTCCTTTCACAAGTGATGCCTTGGAAACCAAGCCATCACGACGTCCTAATTCTACTTTGAATGAAGGAACTCCAGCCTGAGTTTTGATCACATAAAACCCAAAGGTTAGGTTAGTTTCTGCTTTCACGCAGAAATACTAGACAAAAAATGTATAATTAGTTTGTGCATTCCCTTACCAGGACCACGACATCCCTAGCAGCTATAGCTAAAATGTCTGCACAGGAGACTACTCCGGGGCAAGCTACTTCCACGTTTTGCTTTGCCTTCACTACTGTATCAAAGCCATCCCCTGCAAGAGAGAGATTATCTGGGGCATCCTTCTCTGCGTCTCCATTTGGTGAAGAAACCATTGTTGAAGCATCACAACCCTGTAAGATTACAAGAAGAACAGCTAGAGAAACTCATATGGAAGTCGGCAGTATTGAAAGCCTAGTTGAAATCGCCAAACAATTCACGTATATAAACAATTGGGATAGTAATATTAGAACATCCAATCTCCTATAGTTTGAGGTATCATTGACAATTCCTTGGGACAAAGTATTCGACATTTTTTCATGAGACGGTGCCTGAGGTTTAATTAGAACTTACTTTTCATCAATGGAATTAACAACAATTATGACTACATGTATATTATGTATTGCATGTACAATAACTACGCTAATTAGTTCACCATGATGATCATTTATAGTGCTTGGACGCACAATCAAAAGGCATTATGATCAGTAGCATGCAGTGCTCATGGATAATGATGATGATGATTATATAATTCGTCACTGCAGATGTATTGAAGAGAATCAACTACAAGTGTCAAAAATGGAAAAAAAGAGAATCTATACGTACCGTACCGTAACAAAGCAATCATGAAAAAACAGACTAAGAGTTGCTGGGATTGCAGTGAATGTCTGGTTAAACCTTGTGGAAACTGCCTCCTTCACTAGAGCTTCCACGTTAGGACAAGTAAGGCTGTAGAAGTCTTCTGCTAGCTGTCCCTCTCCCCTATCTATGTCCATGATCAAAACCATCATCAGCAAGAGCATGCAACGTCCTCTCTCCATTTCCTCCACAGCCTAGGTAGCTGTACAATCAATCACCTCTTTCTCATGAATACTCCAAAAGCCAAATGTGTTAATTTATACATATGGAAATAGAGAGAGCGAAGGAAAGAAAACAAGAACGCTTCCACCCTTTAAAATATAAATAATTGCAGGCAATTGCCTTGCGAGCCAAGTCGATGCGGTGCGTATAAGGATTCAAGTAGTATTCTGGCTATCTTGTACGTAGTCGTAATCTAGCATGCAGGTGGGTAAAATTTAAGCTCTTAGCTTCTATGACCACCTATCCAATAAGATGTAGCCACATCATCTTCATTATTTCATAGATGGCTTACTAAAACAATATGCATTGGAATAAACAACACGATGTCGTAATCTTCAAGCCACAAGTTACATTTATGAAAGTTGTGCCCATTATCTATACATATATCAAGCTAGTTCTGCTGGGTCATGTGCATGAGTAGCCCTCTGATTAATTCTTTGTTTCAACCCTTCATTCCTTTTCAATTCGTTGAATGGGTATATCTGCCATTAGATTAATTTAATTTACTAGTTGTTAGTATCTCTAGGCAAATGATACCTAAATTATTCGAAACTTAATTTATTTCTAGAGTAATTAAAAATTTATATAATTATATTTTAAAATTTATAAAATTAGTGGAGATGTATTTAAGTTAATTCAGATATTGTTATTAATAATAATAAAAAGCTGTTGATACATATTTTTTTACATTAGAACTTTATCAACAAATGTAATTAAAGTGATAAGCAATGTGATTACCGGAATTCTAATAAAAAAGACACCATAAAAAAAGAAATATCATGTTAGCTAACTAGGTTCGTGATTAATAATTTGATATGAGTACGTTGATACTGTAGCTATAGAATCTTACTTGAAAGGTTTATTTATTTTAAAAAATAAAAATAAAAAATATTATTTTAATTAATTATCTTTACTTTTTTTTTAAATTGAAGTAATTTAAATTTAACTAAATTCTATCTTTATCTACTAGGGGCAGTCTGATTTTAGAATACGGTTGATATTGATATTTTTTTTTTGTTTATGTGGTCATATTATTTTTTTTAAAAACAGTTAAGTTTTTTGTTTATGTGGTCATATTATTTTTTAAAAAAACAGTTATGTTTTTTTTTATTTTAAATATC